GTAAAATGAGGACCCAGATTGTTGGGGGGCAAAACGCTGACTCTGTAAACCGCTTAGAGAAGGCTGTAAAGCACTACGAAGCGATATATAAGTCTAAGTGCTATTGCAGGCTAACTCTGCCCACAGCCTGGACTTCAATCCTGACTGGCTCAAGGTTGACTCAGCCTTCCATCCTTCTCAGGTCGGTAAAATGAGGACCCAGATTGTTGGGGGGCAAAACGCTGACTCTGTAAACCGCTTAGAGAAGGCTGTAAAGCACTACGAAGCGGTATATAAATCTAAGTGCCACTGCTATTGCTACATAAGCCTAATTGCTATTGCTATAGGGTATAAGGTATAACAGGGCATGGCTGGATCTATCTGATGCTACTTTCACCAGCCTGCTTTTGGATTCATCTTGTGGAAGTCCCTGGTGTCATGTATTCCTGTCCTCATCCTTTCCTACTTGAACTTATAGGCTAAGTCAGTTCCATTTTCCATCCACTTCTTATTTTATTTAAACATCTACACACCGGGATGATTTTGTCTGCAGACATGTTTAACTTGTAATATTTAAGATACTGAATTGAAAACCAAATTTGATATTACTTTAAATCCTTTCTACCTTTCTTTGGTTTGAGAAGATTAGAAGCCCCCCTCCCACACACACACACACACACCACACTCCTTGATCAATTATTGCAACTTACGGTAGGCTTACTGAAGCTCAAGAGTTCTTCAGATTTCCTAGACTCTGTGTCGGATTCTAGGAGAAAAAAATACAACAACATATTCAGCGAAGGGGAAACAGAACAAAAATCCCCAGTAAAGTGTTTTTTTAACTGCAGCGCCAACAGATAAAAGTTGTTAGAGCCAGCAAAACACAAGCTGTGCAAAGTTCATTGGCCTTATTTGTTTTGACCACTGAATTCTGCCAAGTGTGCAAGTCTGCTCAGAAAGAGGAGAACGGCACAGACTTCCTTCTATTTTGCCCTATGCCACCCAGAATTGGCATGTATCTTGCATGGCCTTTGGCCAATTTAAAATTCTAGTATTTAAAATCTGAATAACTCCCTCACTTTAGAAATACGGTTTAGAATATTTTCTTTTCTTTCACTAGAAAACTTTCCTAAGGTGAATTCTTGAGATTAGACACATACCAAATGATAAGCAAACTTTCCTCAAAGGATGGGCTATGCTCCCTGTGTCAGGAGATGCTTGGGAACCTTTTGAAGCACTTGTTAATTAAGATTAAAACTTTGGGCACTAGGAATGCTAAAAGAACTGAAAAGGGGAAAGATATGAATGTTTTCAGATAATTTTATGTTCGCTTTTCTGCTTAAGACTTCCATGGTTCAAAGTTCAGAATGCTAATTAATGTAAAGGGTTGAATAAGCCAATGGAAACAAAGGAACCTATAATTATGGATGTTTCTTTCTGACTCTGGATGGCATATTTTTTTTTCCTTTCTTTCACTGGAGAACTGGCTGTTTGTAGGGCAGTCAATGAGGCCAAATTATATTATGTCGATATCTTTGGCCCAGGGAACTCCAGTGCCCCACTTAATAATAGCTTTGCTTCTATGCTGTCACAACATGGTAGTTTAACCCAGCAGTGAAGCATTTCATCTTCTGAATAGACACATCTCCAGGTTGATGGGGAGACAATTGTGTGTGACAATTGCAGGCTGCACAGAGGTTTAGTGTATTCTACTGAACTTATGAGTTGCTGTTTGAGAAAAGGTAAGAAGAAGTAAATAGATAGATAGATAGATAGATAGATAGATAGATAGATAGATAGATAGATAGATAGATAGATAGATAGATAGATAAGCTGAGCGCCAAAGAATTGAGGCCTTTGAACTATGGTGCTGGAGAAGACTCCTGCTCCCCTGGACTGCAAGGCGATCCAACTGGTCAGTGCTAGAAGAGATCAACCCCGACTGCTCTTTAGAAGGCCAGATCCTGAAGTTGAAACTCAAGTACTTTGGCCACCTAATGAGAAGGAAGGACTCACTGGAGAAGAGCCTAATGCTGGGAAAGATTGAGGACAATAGAAGAATGGGAAGACAGAGAATGAGATGGCTGGATGGAGTCACTGAAGCAGTAGGTGTGAGCTTAAATGGACACCAGAAGATAGTAGAGGACAGGAAGGCCTGGAGGAACGTTGTCCATGGGGTCACGGTGGGTCAGACACGACTTCGCAATTAACAACAACAAAATGATAGATAGATAGATAGATAGATAGATAGATAGATAGATAGATAGATAGATAGATAGATAGATAGATAGATAGATAGATAGATAGATCTGGCTGGATGAGGAATTCTGGGAGCTGAAGTCCACAAGTCTTAAAGTTGCCAAGTTTGAAGATCCTTGCACTACACCATAGATGGCTGGCTCAGGAATTCTGGGAGTTAAAGTCCACAAGTCATAAAAGGGCTATAGTAAACCATGAAGGAAACCGTAGGAAACTTATGGTAGCATAAGCAGACTTCACCCTTTCTCTACCTTCCCATGGAGGAAAGGGACGTGTTGGTTTTACCGATTCATAGGCAGCCTACTCACACATGGTTCCACACAGCTTATGTACAATTTATTAATGCATACATCAATTTCCACCACCCACCACCCAAATTTTACGTACCTCCCATCCCTGAATCAGCTGAAGGGATGGGGCTTCCCCGGGTTTTTCCTACATGCTTCTGTTTGATTTGCCCCAAGCTGCCTTGCTGCCCTTTTCCGTAGCCGTTCTGAACGTTGGTGCCGGAGGAACTGTTAGCTTTGTGAGGTGAGGAAGGAGGGCTGTTGGCCTTGTTATTCGTCTGTCCGCTCGCCTGTCGGTCTTTTAGCCTCTTCTTCAAATGTTCTTGCATTTTGAGAGTCCTTTCGTCTCGCTGAACAAAATTTGCTCTGCTGTGGGAACGGGACTCTAGAGAGACAAAAGCGAGAAAAAAAAGCTCATTAGATGGAACACAACTGTGAGAGTTAAATGCTTAAATGCCTCCAAGGCTTAAGACAGACACGGAATCAAAGATACAAATGAGCTGCATATGCTTCACGGGGCTAACAACCAGGCCTGGAAGTTCTTAAGAAGAGACTGGACAGTCATTTGTCTGAAATGGTATAGGATTTCCTGCCTGAGCAGGGGGTTGGACTAGATGACCTCCAAGGTCCCTTCCAACTTTATTATTATTATTATTATGGATCATACCGGTCGGTCCTAGAGGAGATCAACCCTGACTGCTCTTTAGAAGGCCAGATCCTGAAGTTGAAACTCAAGTACTTTGGCCACCTAATGAGAAGGAAGGACTCACTGGAGAAGAGCCTAATGCTGAGAAAGATTGAGGGCAATAGAAGAAGGGGACAACAGAGAATGAGGTGGCTGGATGGAGTCACTGAAGCAGCAGGCATGAGCTTAAATGGACTCCAGAAGATGGTAGAGGACAGGAAGGCCTGGAGGAACGTTGTCCATGGGGTCGCGATGGGTCGGACATGACTTCGCAACTAACAACAAGCAACTTTTAAGATACGTGGTCAAAGAAAGTTCAGTTGCCTCTTGAAAAAGCACCTTTGGGATGCTTCCCGTAGAGTTACTCTATCGTACCCAAGAGGACACAAGAAACCAATTACAGAGGAGCAGAAACATTCTTGGCATTGGTTCTGAAAATATCCAGGTGCCAAACACACATGCAGTCAAGGAAACATCAAGCTCTGGGCCACATGAATGCAGGTGAGCTTGCTGTAAGATTACCTCCCCCCCCCCTTTCCAGCTAATGCCTTACCTTGATCTTGGTAAAGATGAGGCGAAGGTGGTGGCGGATGCTGATGAATGAACTGGGGCGGGATTTCTCCCGTTCCTGGAACCGGAGGGTACACGGGATGAGGGGGGTGGGGAAGCAAAGCGGGGTGGGGATGAATGTAATGGGGCACATGTGGAGGAGGGGGATGCATGGAGGGGTGAAATTCAGTCGAGTGCGGCATAACTATGACCTTCCGAACGCCATTCTCTTCAACCACCTGCAATAGAAAATGAAAAAGTGCTAAATGAAGAGAAGGACGAGGGGCGACAGGATAGCCGTGTTCCAATATCTCAGGGGCTGCCTCAAAGAAGAGGGAGTCAAGCTATTCTCCAGAGCCCCTGAAGGCAGGACAAGAAGCAATGGATGGAAACTAATCCAGGAGAGAAGCAACCTAGAACTAAGGAGAAACTTCCTGACAGTTAGAACAATTAACCAGTGGAACAATCTGCCTCCAGAAGCGGTGAATGCTCCAACACTGGAAGTTTTTAAGATGAGACTGGACAGCCATTTGTCTGAAATAGTATAGGGTTTCCTACCTGAGCAGGGGGTTGGACTAGATGACCTCCAAGGTCCCTCCCAACTTTTTATTATTATTATTATTATTATTATTATTATTATTATTATTATTATTATTATTATATGAGGAGGGGTTTTTTTAATTAAAAGATAAAATGCAATTACAATGATAGCTAGTTTGGTCTCCAGAAAGCAAGAGACCGTGAGTTCAAGTCCCATCTTAGCCACGAAAGCCAGCTGGGTGACTTTGATCCCTCTCTCTCAACCCAACCTACCTCACAGGGTTATTGTGGGGAAAATAGGATGAGGAAGGTATGTTGGATATGTTCACCTCCTTGAGTTGTTTGTAAAAATAATAAAGGCGGATACAAATGAATAAACAATGCTTTGCATTTTTCTACATAACGTATTGTTTTAATTTGGGGCTTTAGGCACCAAACATTAAACCTACACACAAAGAGATCGTCCTAAATGCAAACACTGTTAATCATTCCTCAAATTAACATATAGAGGGAACAGGACCTAACAACACCCCAAGCAAGATGCAGGCAACCTTCTATTTTTTTGCCATCTCTTAACCTTAAATATTTAAGTCAGGGGGGAAAAATGCAGCACAAACCAAAAATCCAGATTTATTTATTTTTAACATCGATGGGATCTAACTGTACTTATTAGTTTTCGCTAACCTGGAACCCTTCAACTGAGCTGGGATTGCAACTTCCTAGAATGGACAATGCCATTAAATAATGCTGCAGAAAGCTGCTATAAACTAATGCACTGTTGTGACTTTCTTTGCCAGCTACAGCTAAAGATTACTGATTACAAATTCTGGGAACTGCTGTCAGGTTTTGGGAAGGAAGAGATAAATTTTAGCAAAGACAAGATTAATTCAATTGTGCATCTTATACAAGTATGTAAGCAAAGAGTAGGAGGTTATGTATTTGGTGTGGTTTATCATAAGCCCAAAGTGGAAGTAAGGGATGAATTATACACTCAAAAGTAAGTGCGCTGTTGGCATCTAACATAGTAATACCAAAATGATTCTTAAACAATTGACTGAAAGTATCTTATTGCCTAGAAAAATCTAGGCAGCTTATGTCTGGGACAAACAATGTCATAATTGACCAACCAAATATTTTATCCTTTGATAAATTATTCTGCTTGGAACTTGTTTAAATGGGCCAGCCTATTCTAACATTTCCTAGTCAGCTAAACAAGATCTGGAGGAGGTCTGACATCATTCAGTCTTCTAAGCATGTACACAACTGTAGCTTTCCAATTCAAGTCAAGTCAGATTAGATGGGAAACCATTCTCTTCTAAAGGAAAAAAAAATGGTTCCAGGTCACTGACTGTTGGAAATGCGATTTGCAGACCACATTATAATTTAACTTATGGCTACCCTATAACAACATTTAAAAACATGACTTATAAAGCAAAGTCATCCACAGTGAAAAGTATTCATATAATATGCAATCCTTGACAAGAATGGTTTTGCTCTCATAAGGCTTTCACCCAACCAAATAATTTTTCTCTACTAAAGCGAAAGCAGCAGACTTTTCTTAATAGAATAGAATAGAATAGAATAGAATAGAAGAGAAGAGAATAGAAGAGAATAGAATAGAGCTGGAAGGGACCTTGGAGGTCTTCTAGTCCAGCCCCCTGCTCAAGCAGGAGAACCTGTACCATCTCAGACAAGTGACTGTCTAGTCCAGTGGTTCTCAACCTTTTTAATGCCGCGACCCCAACCGGTCGTAAGTCGAGGACTAAACCAGTTGTAAGTCGAGGACTAAACTGGTCGTAAGTCGAGGACTTTCCCTGCCCGGGAGCGCCGTGCATGCGTGGTTCCACCCCCTGCGCCGGCCGAGGCATAGCTGGCAAGCGGCAGAGACGGAGCAGGCCGACCACCAGCTGCCCCAGCCCAAGGGAGGTAAGGCACCCGCCGGAAAAGGGGAAAAAAATGGCGGACAAAAAAATGGCGGACAGCCTTGCTTGGTGACCCCCGTGAAATGGTCGATCGACCCCAAATGGGGTCCCGACCCACAGGTTGAGAACCACTGGTCTAGTCTCTTCTTTAAAACCTCCAGTGATGGAGCGCCCACAATTTCTGGTGGCAAGCTGTTCCACTGATTGATTGTCCTCACTGTCAGGAAGTTTCTCCTTAACTCAAGGTTGCTTTTCTCTTTGATCAGTTTCCAGCCATTGTTTCTCGTCCTTCCCTCTGGTGCTTTGGTGAACAACCTGGCCCCCCTCTTCCTTGTGGCAGTCCCTCGGATACTGGAACACTGCTATCGTGTCTCCCCTATTTCTTCTTTTCTTTAGACTAGCCAAACCCACATCCTGTTCTTCGTATGTTTTAGTCTCCAGGCCTTGGATCATCTTAGTTGCGCTCTTCTCTGAATTTTTTCCAAACTAATTCAGAATTAGAAGAGTTAAACCTCAACAAAAACAGGGGCTGCTAACATAGCCATTATACTGCAGTCAACGAATTACAGACAGGGGACCTGTGGTCTTTGGATCCTGCTGCCTTGCAAATGACAATTGTAACCAACCAAATCAATCAAAATAAGGAAAATAGCAAAAGTTCCATGAGATTTCAGTAATCTCTCGCCAAATCCCTAAATTTTTGACCTCCCGGTCCGAGAACTTGCAAGGTTCTAGGATGAGACTATCAACACTGTATAATGTTATGAAATTTCAAATGGAATTGTTTGGCAGAAGGTATTTGAGCTATTTCATAAGATTTTGGACAGTGTCTGAAGCCTAAAAAGCTTGCCAATTCCTCAACTGGACGTCCCAGATGCCCTCTTCTTCATCTGCCTAACATTACATTTTACAAGAGGAGAGAAAAGTCTAACCTCATAGAAAATAAGCCTGTAAGTGTTCTTGAGAAGATGCTAAGATTTCTCCTCAGTTAACTTAAGTTTATTTCCTGCCTAATAAAACGCACATTGACTTTGGGATGAAGGATGACTTTGCAGCTTCTCAACCTTGATTTCTCAGAATATCTAGCCAATTCTGGGGTTTCCAAACAAGGCCAGGCTGATTGGCTATCGTGGAAAAAAAAAAAAACGACGACGAGAAAGATGAATCAGCAGAAGATATGAACCACTTCAAGTTCCTGTTAGCTGATGCCTTGATCTCGTTATTACAGGCAAAAGGAGAAAATATTTTTTTCGTGGGGATTTTTTGTTTGTCTAACTAACCGTGAACATTGTGATTCTGATGAGCATGGAACATTACAAGGCTGATCCTGAAGTTCAAGGCCTTCTCAAAGATTCCCTTTGAGATTCAAAAGGAGATGATAAGCAGGGCTCCAGAATTGTCTGATTCAGCTCCGCTGAAGTCCAACATTCAGAGAAGAATGCTTCTGAGTCATTCAGGCCAATCAGAAGTTCCACCAAAGCTACGAATGTTCAAGGGCTAACGTCCTGGACAACGGGAGTGGAAGAATCACAGAAGAATCTAAGACAGAGGTCTTCAAACCTGGCCCTTTTATGACTTGTGGACTTCAACTTTCAGAATTCCTCAGCCAGGCAGTGCCTGGCTGAGGAATTCTGGAAGTTGAAGTCCACAAGTCATAAAAGGGCCAGGTTTGAAGATCCCTGATCTCAGAAATCTGAAGTAATCAGGCACTGCTGTCTACAGCTCTTGCCAACACCAAGGAACAATTCTGTACAAAGTTTTAGGGAAACCTGAACTTACAAACGGCATTAAAAAGGCACGTGAAATGCTGAATATAAAAAGAAAGATAACTTTTCAGAGTAGGGATAGTCCATTCTTTAAACTAAAGCACCAGTGTAGTTGCTATTCTTCTACCAAAAGATAAGACTGCTGCTGAAAAGGCTACTGTCGTTATGGCCAACACATTAAACAGAAGAACAGAAGATCAACTGAACATCTAAAAACATCTGGCACTCTGAAATCATGGGTGATAAACAGTTGAGTGCAATGATGAATCTCTCTCTTGTTTTCCTTTTTTCTTTCTTTTTTGACCAGATTTATTAACAATCTCAACAAGAATGCTGGCTTTGGGGAAACAATATAAAATACACCCTACTTCAGTTTTTAGCTGAGGCTCTTGACAAACGCTTGGTTTTGAACTGGTGGCCAAACTAAGCTTCAGATGTTGAACTACTATCAAACAAGCATGAAAAACCTGTCCCCATCTCATTTATTCTTCAGGTTTTGAGCCATTCTCATTTATATTCTTTCATAAAACCTCTTGAGCGTTAACTACGGTGTGGTGTATCTGGATCAATGTTTTCAAATTCGGCATTAGAGCTGACCTTACATTTTACAGCTAACCATGGTACATGTCTAGAGGGAACTGAAAAAGCTTCTTGGAGGTGAAGCGAAACTTCTTCAAGCAAAAAAAAAGAAAGTCTCGTTGCCTTTTGAAAAAGCACCCTTGGGATAACCATTGTACCCATATTGTTCTGCTATTTGTCATTAAAAAAGAATAAATTACAATGTATAAGGTATAGTGAGAACAAGAACACATAGGTCAGATAAAAGTTCCTCCTGATTTATCATGATCGTTCGAGCTGTTTCTCTAACATCTGGCTATGGCTGAGAAAGCATACAGTACTACTAAAGACTGATGTAGTATTTGGATCACTATCCTCAAACTGACCACAGGCTATTTTAGGCCCAAATGCATGGCTGTGTTATAGCTGCGGATTTGAGATTTTAAAAGAATCAGCTGTTTATTAGTAATTTAAGTGACAATGGATAGAGTTTTCTGCCTCTACTGTTCTCAACCCTACAGACTGCTGACCCAAAACTTTCTAAACTTCCTTGCTATAAAACCTGGTTTTTCCTTGCCTAGTAGGCTTTATATTTGGCATCTGATTTTGGGGTTCATGGTCCACCACGTGCTTAATTTGTATCCTGTACAACAGGGCTTTTCAACCTTTTCACCCATTGTACCACTTTTAGGATATGGCAATATCCGAGTACCACCAGTCACCTAGCAAGCTGTCAAAAACTTGATGACCCCCCCCCAAAAAAAGGAAAAAAGTGATAAAGTACAGGTAGTCCTCGACTTACAACAGTTCGCTTAGTGACTGTTCGAAATTACAATGGCACTGAAAAAAGTGCCCCCCCAAGCCACAGCCGAGCAAGACACCTGCCTGCCCGCCCGGCGGCGCTCTTCCTCCTGTCCGAGGTTTTCATTGTTGTGAGCATTTCTGTTAAGGATTGGCAGCGGGGGTGGGGGGGTGTTTGATTTTTATTCCCCCCGTCTGCTGGGTGGTTGCAGCAGGTTTTGGTCACTTCACATGACCCTGGGACCCTGTGACTGTCATAAATATGAATCAGTTGCCAAGCATCTGAATGTAAATCACAAGACCCTGGAGATGCTGCAACATTCCAGCTGATCGGTGCTTCTTCTGGGCCCAGCAGAAGCGCCAGGATCAGCGTCGAGCTCCAGCTGGAGCCTGACGCTGATCCTGGCGCTTCCACTGAGCCCTGACAGTCCTGAAGAAGCGCCGATCAGCTGGAAAGCGGCACTGATCCTGGCGCTTCCGCTGAGCCCTGACAGCCCTGCAGCTCCAGCCATCTCTCGCTCAGGCTTGTGCGGTGCTGCCACCGGTTCAGCCCATTCCCCTCCCCCGCTACCACTTTTCTAGGATGGTCACGTACCACCTGCCAGGTGCCAATGTACCACAGGTGGTACCCGTACCATTGGTTGAAAAGCCCTGCTGTACAAGACAGCCTCCTTAGTTATTGGGTTGTACGTCCACTTTAGGATTAGGAGAAATTAGGGGAGCCTAAAAGTGACCAATGGGATGAGACAAAGGAAAAAGAGGAGATATTCAGTTCTTTTCTCCACTCGTCACCCTTGTTACCTTTAGGGATTATAAGGTGGGGAAAACTCCTCGTCGCTCACATGGGAAACCTCTCTTTTATAAAAATGTTCAAAGGATCTGAATGATTACCTGAGAGACATAACCAGGAGGCACAAATATTGGAGGGACAGAACCATTTGGTGACATCATGGGAACATGTGCTGGACCTGAAAGGAAACGAAGCAACACTAATTCATGATCCCTTGCAGAGTACGAAAACCAAGGACATTCACAGTTTATTTGACAGACACAATAATCGAATAGGCCATCATGCATAGCCCATCCACTTCATCCTTCCCTCAAACTATTTAGCAAAAATGGGGAATGAGGTCGAATGCAGAAGGATACAAGTTTTTGGTTCGGTATCTCCTATGCCAGGGTCTCTCAACCTTAGCAACTTTTAAGATGCGTGGACTTCCAACTCCCTAACAATCCCCAGCCAGCATGAAAAAACTGTCCTCTGCTGTTGAAAATCTCAGTGAAAGAGCTACGTTCAGGCCATTTTTTTTAATAGACCTTCAGAAAAATGCTCAAAAATATAAGAGGGGTCAAAGAAGCCATCTAGGTCAAAACTGAACAGCCTTCTCTCAACAGAGGGGGAGGGATATGACATCATCTAAAGTATCTCTACAGCACAGTCTTTTCAACAGTTCCAGGAAGGCTCCACACCCATTTTGTACTATTCGGGTGACCCTGATGACACAGATAAACTTCCAGGTGGCCTCAATGACTCTCTAAAAATATGCAAATGACAGCTATCTGCAAGGAGTATAAATCCTTCCATTCCATACCATCCAGTCAGAGCTGAAGAAGCTTCTTGGATGAGAAGCGAAAGGTCTTCCAAGAAAAACAAGACGGTCCAGTTGCCTTGTGAAAAAGCATCTTTGAGACAACTGTAATCTGGATGACTGAGAATCTCCATAGACGCTCAAAAAAAATCTAACGTAGAAAACTACTGATCAACAAAGATATTCATCTTATAGGACTTCTTTAAAGACAAGTGCTTTATAAAGACTGAGGTTGGCCCAAGAGGCATTAAAAAATTACAGGGGACTCTTGCACTCAATCTGTTCGATGATGCCACAGATTGCTTTTGGGGTTTGCAAGAAAGATAGGCAATCTGAAGGAGAGCCTGCCTAGGCTTTATTTCTGTCACTTTCAGACTATTATTTAAAATGAACATCTCTAGAAGCAATACCAAGTAGGTAAAGGCTATATTTTGACTCTTGCTTGGAAACTTTGGAAAAAATGTCTTCTCCAGCTGCCCTCTTTCTGCATTTTGGTAGATCAACAGCTGGTAGTAGCTCACAATGTATAGGCATCAAAGAAACACGGCCTCCAATTCCTTCTCATCTGATATATTCTACATCATCCATGCTAGACAAAAAAAGCAAGGGCTTTTTCATTGGGCGGTAGAGAAGTTTTATATCAAACTTGTTTTGTTCTCTAACCATGGAAGACTTACTACGTTCTAGGAACAGAATAATGGTCTTTGACTTGAGATAAAAAGAAAACAAGAAGTTTGGTTCTACTTTTTCTGATGCTTCAATCCACGGCCTGAGAAAGTAAAGACTCTTATAGCCTTCCCATTTTCTCTATCCTATCAGAAACTGTCCGAGAACGGGAATCATGGAAAAATGTCCAGTAAAATATCCCCTTATGACATCAGACTGGATTAAGTTTTGATCACGTTCGGCTTATGACCATTCAAAATGCAGAAGCTGAGAAAAGTTTTCACAGAACGACACTGTGATTTGAAGATGTTTACCAAAAGCCTTCATTTTTCCTTGTGGCTTATTATTTGACCCTTAACAATAGATTTGACTTCTTTGCTCTATAAATACTCTTCTAGAGAGATGGCCAGCCCTTTACTATGGTTATGATGTGTAGGAAAGGGGATGGCCAATGGTCAACCCTAACCTGGACTTGACTCAATAACCTTCAACTTTCCTCAGTCTGAGTTCCTTCTAAATGTATGGCCTTCAACTTCCAAAATTCTCAGAAGTAGAATTCAGAGGAATTCTTGCTATTGGAGTCTAGATATCTAGGAAGGTTGTTTTCTTGTTATGAAACTGCACAACTATGATAAAGTCCTCTAGCCACATTAATAGGCATGCAGTATCTGATTTCAGTAATTTCAGAGTATACCCTTGTGGCACTGTTTACCTTGAATACACTGGATATGTCCATCTTCAGTTCTTATTGTGAACGTCTCTCCTGGGTTTACTTGCACAAGAATAACCTAGAAATATGAATACAAGTCCTATTTTAAACTTCACCTGAAAGCAACATATACCTTTACAAAACTAAACATATCAGATTAGAAATATCAGTGGTAGTAATCAGTAAAAATCAAACTGAACTTAGACATGCATTTTTTTAAACCTTTTAATTGGGCATAAAGTACAAAATTGATCCAGATGTGAAAATAAATCCAGCAAATTAAAGAGAATCACTTCCCCGCTACACTTACAACAATTCTTTCCTCCAGATAACATATAGCATGGCAGAAAAATTTTGTTTCTCCATTATTCTTAAATCATTAAATCACATAAAAACAATTATTCAGAAAAAAAGATATTTCTAATCCAAGTTTGGCTGTTTCCCTGAAATGAAAATTGAGATGTGTCCATTTTTTTCTCATATTTTTATGCTTTTTTCCTTCCCTTATTTCCAAATAACTCAGTGGTTTTAATTACAATTTCACTGGAAATTACAGGTGGTCACTCTTTTTGCAGCTGGTGTTTATTGAAACTAAGTGACCACAGAGATTGAGTAAGAGACCAGAGGGGGGATTGGGGGGGTTTACACCTGTCTCCCAGGTAGTATACAGTATGCGGCCATGTTTTAGACCAGGGGTGTCCAGCCTTGGCAAATTTAAGACTTATGGACTTCAGCTCCCAGAATTTCCCAGGCTGGTTGAAGTCCACAGGTCTTAGGTTGGACACCCCAGATTTTATAAACTTACTGATACATCTTGTACCACATTAGCCTCTTTTGCTATAGAAAAACAAATGGACAGGTAAAATCCATGCAACCATTACTTCTGACTTACTTAAAAGAAGAATGGAAAAGCAAACATAAATAAAAATCAGGCAGTACTGTATGTTTATGATGATACATTTCTCCACTCTGGTTCTTAAGACAACATTGTGTTATGCAAAGAGGCAATCAGCAGGAGAATTGTATTGTTTCGTAAGAATAGCTTGGTGTACCATGCCATCCTCAAGTAGGCCACTACATCAATGCGAGCTTACGTTTGTAAATAAAGTGGAACAGCGTTTTAAAGAACACGAAAAACAAGTTAGCAAAACCACCAAAATGCTGATAAACATCAAGATGTGTGTATGTGTGTATGTGTGTGTATGTGTGATGTATGATATTATTTTTCTTAACTTGAAGAGTTAGATCAATTGAGAGATTTGATAGGTACAGGATAGATTAATATTTTACTCTAAATAAGGGAGATAAATGGAAGAAGAAACAAATAAGATCTTGATTAAATTAAGAAAGTAGAATATATGTGGAAGGGATAGTTGAATTGAAAATGTTTTTATTTAAAGTTAATTTGATTATGCTAGAAATTGATGAAGCTTGAAAACAGGTTCAGGTTGAATAAATTTAAGCTAGAATTGGATATTCCAAATATACTATGCTATTTGAGGGGAAAAGAGAGGGAATATTTGATGTATTGATTATATTATGTATATATGTCGTGTATATACATATATATGTATATATGTCTTATGTATATACATAATATGATTATATTATGTATATACATCTTTAAGATGTATGATTACCCCAGCACCACGGTGTGTCCTGAATATGTTGCCTTAAGAATTTAAAAAACCAATAAAATTTGTTTAAAAAAAAAAAGATGTGTGTATGTGTGTTAGAAATAAATGGCTATTGTGATTTCTAATTCTACTGCAAAATTCCTAGGATCTGGGAGAAAATTTCCCCTAAATGTCCTTACAAATAAATGAGATCTAAGGGAAGTCAGTGCAATGATGCCAACTACAGTGATACTGACTTAGCAAAAGCCAGATTACTTAACCCGGGAGAGTCTGAAAATATCGCAATTCCTGGCAACTGCAGTTAAACAGGTAAACAGCCAATATAGCGTATTTCTTTTGGCCATCAGAAATTTACCAACACTTGAATAGGAATAATAATGGTCTGACTTATAGACCACCTCTTCTGGTCTTGTTGGGCTGAAGGAGTAGAAAGTTCCAAACCTCCCCCCACCCCAAAAAAATTAAATGGTATTAGTTTGACTGAACTTTTTAATCCATAATAACAGTAAAAAAAACTAAAGACCGGAGAAGTATAATTTTATGTGCAATTCCTCAAGAACTTTGTATGAATTCAGGAACTGCAGTACCGGCAGTCCTTGACTGACAACAGTCCATTTAGTGACCATTTGACGTTACGACCGCACTGGAAAAAAGTGACTTATGACCATTTTTCACACTTAACGGCCGTTGCAGCATCCCCATGGCCACGGGACTTATATTCGGACACCTGACAACTGACTCACATTTATGACGGTCGCCGTGTCCCGGGGGTCACGTGATCCCCTTTTGCAACTTTCTGACAAGCAAAGTCAATGGGGAAACCAGGTTCACTTAACAACCGTGTTATTAATTTAACAATGGCAAGAAAGGTCATAAAACGGGGCAGACTCACTGAACAAACGTCTCACTTAGCAACATAAATTTTGGGCCCAGTTGTGGTTGTAACTCAAAAGACTACCTGTATAAACCCCTAACTCCTTTTCCCTCAGAAAGGGATACCCTTTAAAAAGCCTTATTGAAATCACCTAGGCCAGGGATAGGCAACCTTGGCTCTTTTGTGACTCGTGGACTTCAACTCCCAGAATTCCTGAGCCAGCCATACTGAGGGGAAAAGGAGAGGTTTCCATGCTCAGCCCTGCCGGCTCAGGAATTCTGGGAGTTGAAGTCCACGAGTCATAAAAGAGCCAGGGTTGCCTACTCCTGACCTAGGAAGTAGCTAAAAAGAGAATAGTTGTTAGTAATTTATGACGTCCTTCTGAAATGGGAAGAACCGCAACTGAGTGGTACATCATGTGCTTTGCAACCGGGAATGCACAAGTTAATTCGATGACAATCCTAGGCAGGGCTGGAACAGATTCTTGGTTGAACCCATGATGATGATCATGATAGAAGATTTCTTTTAAAATTCTTATGATTTTAAAATTCAAGCCAATTCAACTTTTCCCCACCCCCAACCAGTCTGGGGTTTTAAACAAGCCAGCCGCTTTCTGACTATAAACTAATTTGATTTTTATTCAGTGCTATTACAGCCCACTGAAGCAAATGTTTTCGTGCTATTCTGATCCGAATGTGCCTTTGGTAGACAGTTTTTCTTAGACTTTGCATCTTGACACCAGCCTTTCGATAAGGAACATTTTTTTTAACTGACTAAAAATCAAAATGGCTGGCTGCTTCCAGACTAAACAATTCTGATGTTATTTTACTTAGAGATGGTCACAATTCTAAGTCTAAAATCAAAAAGGCTCTTTTGGTGTTTTAATTCGAGAAATACTGCAAAACCAATAAGCTATACACTCTCACTAAATGAAAAAAGGCCAGGTTTAGAATAGAATAGAATAGAATAGAATAGAATAGAATAGAATAGAATAGAATAGAATAGAATAGAATAGAATAATAGAAGAATCGAATCGAATCGAATCGAGTTGGAAGGGATCTTGGAGGTCTTCTAGTCCAGCCCCCAGCTCAAGCAGGAGAACTTATACCATCTCAGACAAGTGACTGTCTAGTCTCTTCTTAAAAACCTCCAGTGATGGAGCGCCCACGATTTCCGAAGGCAAGCTGTTCCACTGGTTAATTGTCCTCACTGTTAGGAAGTTTCTTCTTAATTCCAGGTTGCTTTTCCCTTTGGTCAGTATAGTGACCAAAATTGGTTGCAGTATTCCAGGTGTGGTCTCACTAGGGTTTTATAAAGCGGTACTACTACTTCACGTGATCTTGATTTATATGTAGGTTTATATGTAGAATAGATAATATAAAGGCGGAAATTCAATAATTTCCTAATACTAGAGCAGCCAAGCCTTTTGCTTCTTACTGAGAACACTTTTTTTTCTCCTACAAGAAATCAAACATGCCACATTTTTCAAAACTCCTGACCCGGTTTCCCAAGGCTGAATTGGTTAAATATTTTTGATTGTAATAGAAGGCTTTTTGAGACAAGTTAACGGCTCCCTTCTGACCAAGGAGAGGTACATTTTTATCTCAACTCGTTTGATTAAAAGGTCATGTGTGTAATATCTAGGACATAATATTCTGGTGGCTATATCTCTGCAGGTCAAAGGGAGATAATTTCTCATTAAACAACCTTCAGAAGGCTGTATTTTATCTGCAGCCGTTCTAGCAAAAGGTTCTGGGGGAAAAAAATGGCAAAAAAGATATGGGAACCCACCAGGAGACACTAATCTTCATAACAAGTGTGGTATCCAGAAACGGCTTTTGGGAACAAGCGTACAAAGATGCTTACCTTCACGTTCATTTCCACAGGAGAAAAGATATTGATTCTGCAGGTTTTGCTTTTAAAATTGCCCTGCGTTTAGAACTGTTTTGCAAGCTTTAAAATGCTGGAGCTCACGCTCAAGCTTCAAAACAGATCCGAATAGGCTTACAACAAGGTGAAAGTGATTATTAAATGTCAGCTAATTTGGATTTCTATAGTTGTGTCTTAAGAACTGAACACTTACAAGGCTACTGATAACCTGGATCATGGAAAATAAAACAAAACCTTCAAGGGCTCCCTCACCCAGAAACCTAGACAAGAAGTTTACAAACATGCTGGTCAATGTGGAGCCAACAGGGTGGGAAAAAAAAGATTTCCTGAAGTTTTATTTGCGAATGATAACTCTGGTTCGTGCAGTCCTTGAATTAATCTAATAAAACTTTCAGGGCATCTAAAATGTTCAGGTCCTTCATAGATTTTCAACTGCACTGGAATGCTTTGCTTAGCCTTAGAAATCTCTCGCATTTCTTGCACTATTTATTTCAAACCAATTAGCTGGGAAGTAGCTCTGAGCGTTGTGAATGCGCATAGAGCTTCTTTTGTGCCATTTTTAACATTAGTGCTGAATCACGCACCTGATTTACGTAAATCAATGTATCTTTTCCTTTAAAGGGGACCAATATATTTGACAGCATGGATCCTACAAGAATTGATAATCATATAAACAACAGGGACTCTCGGTTCCTTGCAACCATCTTCTTTTTAAACAATTCTAGGAAGTTCAAATCTGTAACACGGCTTCAAAAAAATCTACTATTCGAGGAGAAATCCTCTGAGCATCCTTAAAGCAAGGTCTGGGATCTAAATTCTTGCATTAGATTATAAAAGTAATCTTAGTTGAGGATCTTCAGGTTATTTACCTCTTACCGTAAACGCTATTATTAAAACCGATTCAACAGACAGAAGGAAATATATCAGCACTCCATTGCCCAATGCAATTCATTATAAAATGTAAGAAGCAATATAAGCAATACTTTCCTAAAGCAAGGTAAGATAAAGAAAAATGATCAGCCAGCAAAAGCTATTTCGGAACGCCACAGCATGGATGCTTTAGATTTGCATGTATGGGAGATTCTGTATGTATCTAGACAGAAATACCCATTTTACATCTGGCATAAACAGCTTCATATATTTTCAGTTCCTTAAACTAACACTCATTGTTTTAGAAAATCACATGACAATATGATTCTTCCTGTCCTTGATACACTCAATTTATAAAACAGAACATTCTCGATTTTAGGTCAATAGTTCAATTATAGCAAGGACAGACTTCTACAGAATGATCGTTTCCCCACTGTTTTTAAATTACAATTATATCTGATTGCCATCTAGTTAATTTTTCAGAGTTAACAAGCACACAGCGGAGAAATGAAACCAACACTGCTATGCATATTGACAATGATCTTGGACCTTGGAACTTGTTATCCAATTTTAATAAAAATCAGCTGTGTTCCAAAGATTACAAAGAGATTCTCTCGTATGTTAAGTCATGGCTTTGCTTAAATATCCTTTGCTCAATAAACCACGATTAGAGGAGCTTAATCATGGTTAAGTCATTATCGACAAACTAAACCGGCACAGAAGATGTGATCCCGTCTAAGCATTCGCAGAAGAGAACAGCCTGGAGATTCCCCTTTTAGGCAGATCAACTTACCTGTTGGGTGGTGTCCCCATTGACCATATGAGGTAGAAGTGGCACTTCATTCAAAATAGGTGTGGCTTCTAATGGAGGTGGCTGGTCTGCCATCATAAGGGAAAGGACCGTTCATCAATGGTTTCTCTCAGATCGACTACCTGGCAAAACAGAAATGCCGTTTCAGATGTCAACAAGTTTTTATTATGATACGGAATGAATTATCTCTGGGGCTTTGGGCTCTGAAAGTCATCCACCTACTCAGAAAAAAGGTCAAACGCCATCAGAAGGACCAGCATCTTACTGGCAACATCCAGCATAGAACGAGAGTCAGCGTCCTTGCCTGGATATTAAAGATGCCGGTGCCTAGCTTTTCCCCTACTTTAAACACAGCGTCTTCACCGACAGCGAGGATGCTGAATTCTTTCCAGAGTTTATGCAGAAAACCGGTACTCGTTTCACTTGGTACCCCTCAATTTTGTCAAGTGGTGCAATAAAAAAAAAAGTCATTTTCCAAAAGCCACCCGCTTTGTCAAGAATGTGCTCAGTTCCTAAGACTCTTCTTTTAATAAAACCTATTTCAACCTTCCACTAGCATATTGGAAAGAAGAAGAAAAAAAACACCCAGCACAAATCAAGGAGAGCCCTCTGGGAGCTAAGCAAGCATTCAAATTACTGGTTTAAAAATATAACCGGCTGTGAAAAACATGCCTGAAACACTTGAGATACAGGTGGCAGTTTGCAGGACTGAATGGCAAAAGTCAGATGGTATGCGGTCTCTTATTTCCATATTTGAGGTTTCTAGCACATTATACGGCACTCCTGTTTGAAGAAGCCTTTTCTAAAAAGCAAATGATTTGCTGGACACATAGGAGAAAAGAGAAAAGATTTATAGCAGGGGTAGTCCACCTTGGCTCTTTTATGACTCGTGGACTTCAACTCCCAGAATTCCTGAGCCAGCTGGCTCAGGAATTCTGGGGACTGAAGTCCACGAGTCATAAAAGAGCCAAGGTTGACTACCCCTGATTTATAGCATGGTTTCTTACCAGCCTCTGGAGTTATTACAAGCTCTATAGAGCAGTGTTTCTCAACCTTGATAATTTTAAGGCATGTGGACTTCAACTCCCAGAATTCCACAGCCAGCATTGCTGGCTGTGGAATTCTGGGAGTTGAAGTCCACATGCCTTAAAATTGTCAAGGTTGAGAAACACTGCTATAGAGTCTTCATCATATGAGAGAAAGGGGAGAAGTGAACTGCAAAGACTGGGAGCAGATAAGCAATTTACAAGAATTTAATCAGATTTTTTTAAAAAAAATACCACGTCAAGGTTTCCAACAACCTTTCCAGAACAAAATTTAGACATAAGGATTTTCCACTGCTTCAAAAACATTATTATATTTGGATCTCGCATCCAAAGACAAAGAATACAGTCTGTTGCAAGCCGTATCTCAGCCACAGGCAGATCTGTGTGTGAGGTCCTTAAGTGCTCTCTGAGCTGGGTTGTGTTCTTGTAGACATTTCACGACCCAACTAAGTAACACCATCAGTGCTTGGCCTGTGTGTATTGTATGACACCTTTTCCAAAAAGACTCAAGACAGCTATTGGTGTCAAAATACAACACCAATGCAAATACTCAAGTGCACGTAAAAATATTTTTTTAAAAAAATACTGGGGGGAAAATGTACCATGCACCCACATAATCACCTTCACACGCTCCCCTGGGGCAAAGCAGAACAGGTAGGTCTTTTAACACTTCAAAGCTGACCAGATTGTTACTTTGGGGAAGAGGGGGCAAAAAATGAGGGCAGCTACTGAAAACTGACTCCTAGCCACAGTTACCACCTGCCCTTCAGGTAGGAATCAAAACATAAGAGAACCCCAAATTACAGACCATCCCCAGGTAAGATAGTGTTACTCAAAGAAGAGGGGGTCAACCTATTCGAGAATAGGTCGACCTAGAATAGGTGGTACCTGGCTCAACAGGAGTAACTGCGAGAGGGATCTTAGACTCCTAATGGACAATCACTTAGATATGAGCCAGCAGTGTGCTACAGCAGCCAAAAAAGCCAATACAATCCTAGGCTACATTAATAGAAGGATAGAATCAAGATCACATGAAGTGTTAATACCACTTTATAAGGCCTTGATAAGACCACACTTGGAATACTGCATCCAGTTTTGGTCGCCACAATATAAAAAAGGTATTTAGATTCTCTAAAGTGTGCAGAGAAGAGCAACAAAGATGATTAGGGGACTGGAGGATAAAACACACAAAGAATGGTTGCAGGAATTGGATATGTCTCGTTTAATGAAAAGAAGGATTACAGGTGACATGAGAGCAATCTTCCAATATCCAAGGGGCTGCCACAAAAAAGAGGGGGTCAAACCTATTCTCCAAAGCACCCGAAGGCAGGACAAGAAGCAATGGATGGAAACTAATCAAGGAGAGAACCAACCTAGAACTAAGGAGAAATTTCCTGACAGTGAGAATGACTTGCCTTCAGGAAGTTGTGGGTGCTTCAACACTGAAGGTTTTTAAGAAGAGACTGGACAGCCATTTGTCTGAAATGGTATACGGTTTCCTGCCTGAGCAGAGGGTTGGACTAGAAGACCTCCAAGGTCCCTTCCAACTCTGTTATTCTGTTATTCTACTCAAAGGAAAAGATGGAATTTCCCTAGAACCATTAGAGCCACAAAGCCTTTCTAAACGGCCTCTGTTGGAGTCTGTTCCTCCCCATTCTGACTAGATGTACTCCACGCGCTGGATCGGTGCTTTCATTTTGCCAAGGGTTGAGAAGTACAGGTGGATATAATAAACTTTTTGATGATACTGAATCTCATATCAGATACTACTTCATCTGTCCTCTCCCGCTACCACCCATTGGAACCATTCCTTCAAGGAGATGGAGAACATTGGAAGACCCATTCCAAATTCTTGAAGATGGCCCTCAGGATACTACAGTCCAGTGGTTCTCAACCTTTTCTACACTACAGACCCCCTTTAAATACTTTGTGGCCACAGACCATGGCTACGGATCACCAAGACTTAACTCAAGATTTCAATCAAAACATTTCTTCAAGCCTTTGTGGACTGGCTGTGAAAACATCGCGGCCACTCAGGGCTCTGTGGACCACAGGTTGAGAATCATTGCCATAGTCAATGACATGGAAAGCTATTGAGAAATCAAGGACAACCAAGAGCATATACTCCTGGAGCAATCTCTGCACAGGTCACACCGAGATATGACCAAGGTAGTTTCCAGCCTGAAACCTGACCGTTACAGGTCCAAAACAATCTGTTTCTTTTAAGACCGTTTGCAGTTTGAAGACTTTTAGGTAAGCCACTGTCTTTCTGGATGCAGTTTCAAAATACTGTGATAATAAACGGTGTGCCACAAATTAAGTACAGGATTAATAACCAAAAATGATTTTCAATATTTAATAACAGAGTAACAGGACTCACTGGAGAAGAGCCTAATGCTGGGGAAGACTGAGGGCAATAGAAGAAGGGGACGACAGAGAATGAGGTGGCTGGATGGAGTCACTGAAGCAGGAGGCCTGAGCTTAAATGGACTCCAGAAGATGGCAGAGGACAGGAAGGCCTGGAGGAACGTTGTCCATGGGGTCGCGATGGGTCGGACACAACTTCGCAACTAACAACAACAATGCCTCTAAGCTTAAGCAAAATACTTTTCCACTCGCCACATTAAGAAGGGCTAATTGTACAGACGGTGCTGCTCCCTACAAATTTGATCTCTTTCTAAAATTTAAAGAGATCCCTTTGGCAAGACCCACAGAGAACATGTTTTCAAAACAGGGTTAAAACATTCTGGAAGGTGCATCTTTCCTTCTCACTTGAGAAATGTACTCAAGATCTTTTTTCCTTCGTTGCAGAAGGATCAGTTCACGATGGATCAGTTCACGCATGTATTTTTTTTTACTTTTTAATCATCCTCCAAGCTTGTAGAGAAGGAGCTCCACAGCCCATAACCAAAATTTGATGCAGAAAGTGGAACTGAGAGTGAGAGAGGGAGAGATGCAAAGCAGGAGGAATAAATGAAGCAACGCTGCAGGGAACTTCAAGGAATTTCTGAAATCACCCCGCCTGCGCTATCTTTTCCTATTAAGGAACTGCTTCTCGCTGTTCCTTCTAAAAAAAAATCAACTAGCAATCACATTGAAACTGCAGGAACCGGTTGGAAATACTTTTCCACATAAACAGAAACTAAAAAGCAGACCAACTTCACCGAAAATATGAATACACTGTGGCCCACTTCTCTCCTTTAGCTTGTCAGTAAGTCCCAAAGTATTTCCCAACAAAATAAAATGGCGGAGAGGAAACCTTTACAGATGCCACGCAGAGCAAAAAATCCTATTTCCTCCTAAATACAGGCAGTCCTCGACTTTCAACAGTTGATTTAGTGACCATTCAAAGTTACAACAGCGCTGAAGAAAGTGACTTATGACCATTTTTCACACTTATGGCCACAGCAGTATCCCCCACGGTCACATGATCAGAATTCAGCTGTTTGGCAACGGACTCGTGTTTGTGACGGTCGCAGCGTCCCGGGGTCACGCGATCAGCTTTTGTGACCTTCTGACAAGCAAAGCCAATGGGGAAGACAGATTCACTTAACAACCACGTTACTAACTTTAACAACTGCAGTGATTCACTTAACAACTGTGGCACAAAAGGTCTTAAAATCCGGCAAAATTCGCTTAACAAATGTTTCACTTAATAACAAAAATGGGGGGCTCAATTGTGGCCGAAGGTCGACAGCTATCTGTATATTTCATGTCTGTCTGGCAATTTAATTTTTTTTTTTTTTTGCAGTAAAGCACCCGATTTCCCTGAGAATTCTTGGCACGATCCCCTACTTTGTCACCTCAGGGACTCTGGCAAGTGAGTTTGATCAAAACTGGTAATACCAGCTCGCATTATAGAACTTTTAAAAGAACTGGGTGCCAAGGTATGCTAAAACAGTCACAGGCGTTTTGCAAAGGCTAAATATGATCCTTGTTCCCAGAATGCAACATTTCTCATAAACTTCAAAAATTGGCCTGTTTAAGATAAACTTAAATCACGGTTTATCGAAGTGCAAAACAAACGCTGCGACTGTC